ACAAACTTTGTTCTCATCCCCCTTCTTAATGAACCCTTCTGGTTGACTCATTAGAATCCTTTCATCTAGATTCCCATGCAGAAACGCTGTCTTTACATCAAGCTGCTCTAGCTCGTAATCCCTGTTGACGACTGTGGATAGCATTATTCTTATAGACACATGCTTCACAACGGGTGAGAAAATCTCATTGTAGTATATTCCCTCTTTTTGCGAAAACCCCTTAGCTACAAGTCTCGCCTTATACCGTTGTTTTTCAACTCCTGGTATTCCTGGCTTGAGCTTGAAAATCCATTTGCAACCAACAAGCTTTGCGTTCTTTGGTTTATCAATAAGATCCCATGTATGGTTTTTAGCAAGTGAATCCATCTCTTCGACTGCAGCATTATTCCATAGTTTCCACTTAGGACTTTTCTTAGCTTCTGCAAAAGTTTTAGGTTCCTCTTTCTCTATCGCTTCAGCAACTGACAAAGCATATGCTACGAAGTTAGGATCTCTGTACTTTGCAGGCTTCTTTCTATCTACCTGTGTTGCCCTGTCTCTCATAAGCAGATAGTCATTAACTGGTGGTTCTTGATTCTGTTCCTCTTCCTCTCTGAATGAAAGCCCTTCTGAATCACTGTCCCCATCTGACCAATCTGAATCATCATCTTCTTCTGTACCCACTGAATAATCTGAATCATTCTGATCTGAAGCCTCTCCACCTTGAGCAGAAGTTTCACCATGTTCATACTCTGAAGAACTTGGTCCCTGAATGAGTTGTTCATTAAATGTAACTCGCTTTCCTTTTCCCTTTTGACTCGTAGTGTCTGAACTCCCTTGTTCTGTGGCTTCCTTGCTTTTCAGAGTATCCTTGTATATCTCATCTTCCCTAAACACCACATTTCTGCTTGTCACACACTTTCCTTCCTCTGGAATCCAAACTCTGTATCCCTTGACCCCAAACGGATAACCCAGAAAGACTCCTTTGATTGCTCTCGGACTTGTCTTTTCCTGAATAGTGTGAACATATGCAGAACATCCAAACCTCTTGAGATGTGACAAATCAGGCTTGTGCCCTGACCACTTCTCCTCAGGGAATTTGAACTCAATTGTAGAGTTTGGTGTTCTGTTTATGAGATACACAGCCGTCGATGTAGCCTCAGCCCAGAATTCCTGTCCCAATCCTGTTTCAGCTAACATGCTTCTCACTTTGTCCATAATGGTACGATTCATCCTTTCTGATACACCATTTTGTTGTGGTGTATACGTACAGGTTTTGTGTCTCTTGATTCCCGAAGATTGACACAAACCATCAAACTGAGAATTGCAAAACTCCAATCCATTGTCTGTCCTTAGACACTTTATTTTCTTCTCTGTGTATTGATCAACTGTTTCTTTCCATTCTTTGAACTTCGAGAAAGCTTGATTCTTACTCTTAAGAAAATAGACCCAAACCTTCTTTGAGTAATCGTCAATGAAACTGATGAAGTACTTGCAACCTCCGAGGCTTTCTGGAGTTGATGGTGAACCCCACATATCCGAATGAATATACTCCAGAATGCCTTTTGTTGTGTGCTTAGCTGTAGGAAAACTTTGTTTATGAGATTTTCCAAGAACGCAACTCTCACAAAATTCTAAAGCACCAACTTCACTCTTAGGCAGAAAACCCTCTTTCACTAGAACCTCCATGTTCTTTGAACTCATGTGACCAAGTCTTGAGTGCCATAGACTTGTCGTAGCTTTCTTAGGTTCCGCGAGGTTAGTTTCTCCCTTAGTTACTTCCCCTTCTAGGTAATACAACCCTCCATTGTACTTACCCGAGATGACTTTTCTTCCATCCTTATAGAACGTAACAGTGTAGTCTCCTCCTTCATACTTGCACCCTGCTTTTTCAAGCATTCCGTATGAAATGAGATTCCTACTCATCTTAGGCATATACCTTACGTCAGTGAGAATCACTATTGAACCATCTGGATTCTTAATCCTTATCTTGCCAATGCCTTTGACTTCACTGTGAGTATTGTTTGCCATCAAAACCTTTACCCCATTGACTTCCTTGAAATCAAACAGTAGTTCTCTGTTAGGAGTAATGTGAAATGTACATCCTGAGTCCATAACCCACTCATTTTCTGAATCTTGAACACTTGCAGTGAGAACTAATGGTTGTCTGTCCTCTGTAGCTATATTGGCTGAAGAATCTCCTTTCTTTTGGCCTTTGCTCGGACAGTCCCTTTTCCAATGTCCTTCTTTTCCACAGTTGAAACATGTGTTCTTATTCTCTTTATTGAATCGGTTCTTTGACTTTGATCTGTTGTTACAGCTTTTAGATCGACTGTTCTTCTTATTGTTTTTGCCGTTTTCATTTTCAGATCTCTTGTCAGACCTTCCACGGGACTCTGTGACACACAACCCTTCGGTTGAGGACTTCCCTTTTCCAATGAGGCATTTACTTCTCAGCTCTGCTTCCTTTGAGTAAGCTGAAGTTACCACTTCCTCAACTGTTATGGTTTCCTTTCCAGCACCGTACTGGAGTGTGTGAACCAGTGGTTCGTATAATGGAGGTAAGCTTGATAGCAATTGTATTGCTTGATCTTCATTTGAGATTGTTACCTTTAAGCTCTGTAAGTCAGCTACTAGCTTTAAGAATATGTCAACATTTTCTTCTATTGACTTCCCTTCTTCCATTTTGTAGCATGAGAATTGCTTCTTCAGGTAAATCCGGTTCGGGAGTGATTTCTTCTGGTAGTGCTTCTCAAGAGCTTTCCACTGTTCCAGAGCAGTAGGCTCGTGCATGATCTTTCTCAAGATCTGGTCTGTTAAGCAAGTACCAAGTAAGCTCCTTACTCTTCGATCCAAAGCTTCCTTTCGTTTATCAATCATCGTTGCTGACCCTGATTCTTCTCCAGGTTTTCCGGTGACCGTCATGATCGTGAAGTCTTCTGACAACACATCAAGTAAGCTCTGAATATCGAGTTGACCTAGGAATTTGTATTTCCACATACCAAAATCCCCTTTGCCATCAAATTTATCCATCTCAAACCTTTCCTGAGTAGCCTCCATGTTTTCTGACTTTAGCTGACCAATCTTTGCAAATTACAGACTCCTGAACTTGAAGATACAACCACACAACGCAGCAAAACACAGATAGCAGATTCTCGACGAAGGCACACAGCTTATACTGAAAAACTACGAAGATTCGCAGCAGCAAACAATCTTTCAAGCAGCTAAGAGCAAAAGACAACCAGGTGCTTATCTTCTTCCTTTCAAACGTTAGAATCCTTCAGATCTGAAAGTTTAGCATCTAACCTGATGCTCTGATACCAATTGTTGAAAAAACTAGACTTAACGATTCAATCTGATTTGCAGGATTCAATGCGGATTAGACTATTTGAAAGCAAACGAAGAACAACGCCAGAGATTGATCACCCAGAGTTCACCACGAAGGCTACGTCTTTGGAGAGGGAACGGTATCCCTCAACTGCTTTCACTAAATCGGCGATTACAGCCAACAATGGCAACGAGTTCCGGTTACAAGACAAGCAAACAAAAGATCAACGAAACTCGAAGGATCGTACTGGATCAGACGAACACTTGCCGGAGTTTGAATGATGATTCTTCAGAGCTCCGGTAAGTTTCTCGATCACTTCTCCTCTTCTGTATTCGCACTCTTTCTCTCTCTGCTTTCTCTCTCTGTAACAACCTTCTTGCCGTTCTGTTTTTCCGATCAGATTGAATGAAGACGACGAGGCTTCATTTATTCTGCTTAGGCAAAACGGACTTTAAGAAGTTTGATTTGGCCCAAAAAGAGAAGGACGAGATTGGGCCCAAAATCCATATGTGTTTGACTGAACCAAATCTACAGTTCGAAAACATGAATATGCATTTCTGTTAGTTAACTTTTCTAAAACGATTATTTTTTTTTAGCTGTTGAGACAAAATGTGAAAAAAATTATAGTTCAGATAATAAATGGATGAACCTAACTATAGTTTTGTAGATCGATAAATCAAGATGATAGTCAAGTTATCGTTGCGAGAATCATATGATAAACACAACATTGTTTGGTGAGTATTTAAAAGGAAGTGAGTATTGATAATCACTGGTGGGTTTAGGCCACTGCTCAACTTGTTCCCCTTTTGACCCAATTAAAACGCTTGCTCAGTTAATTAAATTGAAATATAGAGAAAGGCCTCAAATATAAAGCCCATGATATTAAGCCCGTTATCTGATTCGGCCAGTTCAGCAAATTAAAATCCAAACCTACGCGTGTTACCAAACACAATTCGAACCCCTTCAAATGTATTAGCAAACATAATTTCGAATTCCTAATTTTCATCATGATAATAGTATAGTAATGCGTCGAGTAAGAACGAATGTGAACGTACGATGTCCTTTTCTTTGTACCAATACAAAATTTGCAATTAAGATCTATTTTGGTAGGTATAGTTTGCAAAATAAGCTATGCTTCTATCTCGTTTTCATGTCTACATACTTATACATATATTTATTGTCCGTCATCGTCTGCTAATATAGTTGTTGAGTACAAAGTTACATATACAACAACGAAGTCATATGGTATGAACATAAGAACGGTTCCGAAATACCAACTTGTTTAACGTATGACTCAATTGTAATGTTTCGTTTTCTTAAATAAATTATCGAAATATTCGTAAAAAAAGGTTTATTATCAATTGCAGTTTGAAATTGTATAAATATTAATTAGTTTCTTACGAGAATTAGTCAGAGTTTTGTCGTGATTAAATCATGAATGTTTTTATTAAAAAAAAATTGTATATGATAAAACAGATGATGTATATAAGAAATAACTGATAATATGAAACCATAATACTCTGTTAACATGTAAAGTATTATACTATACTTTATAACCATATGTTTATATACGTGTCGAAATTTTTAATACGTATATGACATTAACGTACAAAAGATAATTAAATTTGCTTTGCTTTGAGTCTTTTGACAAAAAAGAGTACTAAGATTATTAAAAAAAAGGTTAAAAATCAATGCGAGTATATATTGATTACACACGCGTGCCACAAGATTACATATTGAAAAGAGGCAATCAGAACAACAATAACTGACAGATGCTCTCTGCTCCGTAACACATACACTCACAAAATGACACTCTTCTTCCACTCTCTTCTCTTCCTCTTCCTTCTTCTCCTCCTCCGTATCTCCGCCGGATTCCCTCTCCCGCCGACGAACTACTTCAACTCATACTTGCCGTCCGACGCCGTTGCGCTTCTCTCCTTCAAGTCCGACGCCGATCTCGACGACAAGCTCTTGTACTCCCTCACCGAGCCTTACGACTACTGTCAATGGCGCGGCGTCGAGTGCTCTCAGGATCGCGTCTCTCGTCTCGTTCTCGACGGCGTCGGTCTCCGGGGACGTTTCTCTCCGGAGACTCTCAGTCGTCTTGACCAGCTCCGTGTTCTTAGCCTCGAGAACAACTCGCTCTCTGGTTCGATTCCCGATCTATCCCCACTCGTCAGTCTCAGATCCCTAATCCTGAGCAGGAACGATTTCTCTGGTACTATCTCTCCTTCGATTCTATCGCTTCGCCGGTTAACCGTGCTCGATCTCTCGTATAACAGCTTCTCCGGTTCGATTCCGTCTGATATCAATTCACTGAGTCGACTCAGTTCCTTGAATCTCGAGTTTAACCGTTTCAGCGGTAAACTCCCGCCGCTGAATCAGTCGTATATGACGTTGTTTAACGTTTCCGGAAACAAACTCAACGGAGCGATTCCCGTCACCGCGACTCTGTTACGCTTCAACGCGTCGTCGTTTTCGTCTAACCCTAGGCTTTGCGGTGAGATCATCGACAGATCCTGCGGTTCACAATCTCCGCCGTTCTTCGACTCGTCGATACCGAACGCCACGTCATCACCTACTTCGTCGCAAGCGCCGACTGGTCAGACGACTGAAACCGCTCAGAACGGTGAAGCAGGGATGGATATTCCGCCGGCGGATTCGTCATCAGCGAATAAAAAGGGTAAAAGTGGGTGGTTAGTGCTCGGTTTCACCATTGGCCTCGCGTCGCTGATAGTCCTCGGTCTCTGCCTCGTCGTGTTCTCTCTGGTTTTGAAGAAACGGAGAGACGATAACGACGACGACGCGATGATGTTTCAACCGAATCGCAAAGGTGATAACAATACTTTCACGCAACCAACAACCGAATCTCTCACCACACGAGCCGCCGTTCCAATCCCAAATTCGAATTTCAAATCTCAGAAGCGCGAAGAGGAAACCAAAATTCAAATCCAAGCGACGGAGCCGCCGCAAAAGAGAATCCCGAGAAGCGGAGATCTGATTTTCTGCGGCGACGTTGTAGGAGGAGGTGAATCTGGAGAAGCCATGTACACACTAGACCAGCTGATGAGAGCTTCGGCGGAGCTATTAGGAAGAGGATCGGTAGGGACGACGTATAAGGCGGTGATGGTTAACCAGCTGATCGTGACGGTGAAGAGATTTGCTCCGTCGAAGACAGCGATTACTAGCGATTTGGAGTTCGAGAATCATATGGAGATTGTGGGGAAACTCAGGCATCCGAATCTCGTCCCGATTAAAGCTTATTTCCAGTCAAACGGAGAGAGACTTGTCATCTACGATTACCAACCTAACGGAAGTCTCTTCAATCTTATTCATGGTAATGTTCATCTTCTCTCTCACTCCTCTTGTTTTGTTAGGGTTTTAGCTTTACTCACTGAGTCACACCACCGAGTTATTGCTTTTATTTAGCATGTAAAAACAAAGTATTCTGTTGGTCTCAATTAAACTGAGGTGTGAGTGTGACATAGAGAGGTATTAGTTGAAAGAACGTTTTTATCTTCGTTATAAAGCAGAAACCTTTTTGCATGACTATTTGTATGGGTTTTGATGCAGCTTTATCAATTGAAGTAACTCTAGAGACTTGACCACATAGAGACAATGGCGGAGTTTATTATTAAATAAATTTTGTCATTTTGTCTTTTTTTTCTTTTTTAGAATAACTGTAGGTAGAAGACAGAATCTCTGTGCTGTTTTCACGTGAAACTCCAGTGATTTTTTGTCAGGAATTTGTGTGTGTTATCTAGGAGTTGTGCTCGAGTGTTGAATAACTCCATCAAAAAGACTAACGCAAGAAAACAAATATCCATTAGGACCACTATAATCTGAATCACCAATAGTAAAGTTTTAATCTTTTCGTTATTTCCATTAATTATCTGTTGATCTCCACTAACTAATGACAGTTTTATCATACAAATCCAGGTTCAAGAACATCAAAGGCGAAGCCATTACATTGGACATCATGTTTAAAGATAGCAGAAGATGTAGCTCAAGCCCTAGATTACATTCACCAATCATCTACACGATTCCATGGAAACGTTAAGTCCACTAACATCCTCCTCGGTCACGACTTCGAAGCTTGTCTCACAGATTACTGTCTCAGTGTCTTAACAGACTCCTCTGTTCCTCCCAGTGACCCTGACATCGCTTCCTACAAAGCACCAGAGATCAGGAAAACAACACAGAGTCCCACATCTAAATGCGACGTGTACTCGTTCGGAGTCTTCCTCATAGAGCTGTTGACCGGTAAAACCGCTTCGAGGCAGCCGTTTATGGCGGAAAAAGATATGTTGGATTGGGTAAGAGCAATGAGGCAAGAAGAGGAAAAGTCAAAGGAAGAGAATGGGCTTGAGATGATGACTCAAACGGCTTGTCTTTGCCGAGTGAAATCGCCGGAGCAAAGGCCTACGATGAGAGAAGTGATCAAAATGATTCAAGATATAAAGGAGAGCATTGTGATGACTGAAGAGAACGGGAAATTTCAGTACTCGTAGTAGTGTCTTGATCGATTATGCTTTTTGAGAAGTTTATTTTGGGACAAGAAAAGATAATATTTGAATACTAGAAAGTGTAAATTTTCTTAATATGGGAAAGGGAAAATTTGTGATGTTTGTTTTTAGAAATTAGGAAAAAGATTGAAAACGTCGTCCACGGTCCACATGATAGATCTATGTGATAATAAAAAAATTATGAAACTAAAATTCAGACTGAACAATCTTACTTGAAGCTCAAAGATATAATTCCCCAAATACATAGTCAAAATTCAAATTTGCAAAATATTTTACGATAAAATAGTTATTTCAAAAGCCAAATGATACTATATAAATGTTTATAATTCTTAGTACAAGTAGATACACACATGTCATTAAATCTCAAGCATTCCAAATTGAAGGAGGGAAAAAAAATTCAATAGACTAGTAATGAAAATTAGGCTGGTTTAAAATAAGCATAAGCAGCAAAATAAGTTTGAGATAGCGTGAGAACTAGCAGAATAACTGCAGCAAAGAAAGGCAAATAAGCCCAAGGGTTATCGAAGTACTTTTCTTTCAAGGTCGTCAAGTACTTGCGTTTCACGCTCATCTTCCAAGCATTCCACTTCATAATGTAGTTCTTGTGATAACAATGGTAAACCTCAAGCAACAACTGAGACAAGTATATATCATCAGTGTTGACAATTACTTCCTGACATAGCTGGTTGAACATATCCACAACTTCAGAATGACTCCCTAGCGAGTGTTGGATGATACCACATTCATCAAAGTAAGTAACATCTTTGGTTGACTTTATTAGATTGTTCATGAAGAGAATGTAAGATGTTATGTTGTTGCTCGAGTCAATATTGCACTGCTCGAAAGCTATGAGATTCAAGAAGAGAGATTTCGTACCTACAAGAAAATGCAGAGGTAAGTTGATACGATCCCTAGAAGGCTAAAACAATTGTTTTCTCGAGCTAAAAATCACATTATACGATTTCTAGCATGAGAATATCGTGTAAAGTGATAGTTTTTGTCGAGAAAAATGAAAAAGGAGTAGAAATGTAAGATTTAAAAGGTAGTAAGTAAGAAAAGAAAATAATTTACCGTCGTGGATAACAAGAGTGGGTAGCTCTAGATAACCGTTTTTGAATTTAATATCCCAAAACCGGTCGGCTTTCCGGATCCGGAAGGGAAAACCGGCGTCCCTTAAATCCGTAGCGGAAGGTATCATTTGTTGTAGGCTTCTGTCGGCAGCACACGAATGCCAATGCCAGCTCTTTCCTGATAACATCGGCTCCAGTTTTGGCAGTAGCAGACTTCGCCGGAAAACATCGAGACAGTGCAATTCCGCCGATGGGTCAGTGCCAATGGATGTTAGGGGATTGTCGATAACCGCCTCACCCGTCGGCATTAACGGGTCGAAAAACTGAACCGCTAATTGCGCCACTAAACCAGATTGGTTTCGAGTACCGAGTTGTATCTCTAATAACCGGTTGAGTACGAACAAAGGAAGTTGGTTTTCCAGCATTATCATGTCACGTTGGATAGATCGTATCGATCCTCGAATCGCGAATATTGGATCATTACGATCGTATCTACACATGCAAGACCCCAAAAAAAAAAAAAAAAAAACAAAAAACAAAACGGATCTGAATCAGACCGGTTTAGCAAGATAACCGGACAAAGAGAGAAATTGAATCACGCTTACCCGAGTTTAGAGAATCCTTCGGCGCTTGCGGCTCCTCTGAGGACCTCGAGAACAAAACAGCCATCAAGAACAAGCATTTCCGTGAACTTGTAACTGTTCAAACTAATGGTACCTTCGTAGCAAGCACGAGCCTTCTCCTCAAGCTCTATCATGGCGTCAATAAACACTTCGATGCCTTGCTTCGTACGTTTCAAGACCTTATTGACCGCACGCCATTTGTGGCACTCCATGGACTGTGTTTGCTCTTCACCATGATGGTACGGACCAAGCGCGACGGCCTGGGGAGAATACGACTTCTTGTCATCTTGGTGGAGGTAATGTGGAACTTTGTAGATACAAAGCTTGCCCAAGCTAGTTATGTCGTTGTGTCTGTCTGCTTGATCGAGCTTGTCTCTTATCGAGATCACCCAATCGTCATGTTTAGTCCCGCTCCCTTTGATCACCTCTATCGTACCAGGTTTGGAAGCAGTATGCTCGTGGTTCTCCAAGTTTTGTTCTTGATCGGGTCCGGTAATTTTGTGATCTTGATTAACCGGTTGAGATTCTCGGTTTTGTTCTCGGAGATTTTCGAGGTACCTTTTCAGCTTGTTTTTATCGAATGCTATTTTGGCCTGATGCTCTATAAACCTAAATCTGAATGGCGGTGGTGGCGGTGGCGGTGGTGGAGGAGGAATAGGACCAAAATTCACCATTTTGTTGGTTGAAGCTTTTGCGGAAATAGAGGGAGAGAGCGTAATACTTGGCTGAAGCAACGACGTCACCGATTTAAACCTACAACTGAGGGTAAAAGTCAAACTTCATTAGAAACATTGTCATAAATGTTATTGACAAAAAGCAAATAAAGAGAGTAATAAGTGTGTGTAAATAAATAGTATAAAAGTTAAAAAGAGAGTAACCAATTAATTAAACCCTCGTAGTAATGGTCAAATGTCAAAAGAATGGTGTATTCACAGCTGTATCCAGTTTTATTATTGCTAGATTATTTGTAAAAGACTTGCTTCCATAAAGACTGCCCATAAATGCTTGTAATTTTTAATTCAACGAGTGAAATTGGATCATTCAAACTTGCATTACAAAAGAAAGAATATATTCTTATATTCTTATAAAAAGACTAATAAGTCTTGCAATACGTTATTGAAATCGAGATATCACTCTTATAAGAAAGACTTTTTCCAAGGTAATAAAACAATAGCAAGTGTAAAATTTTATAGCATTGTTTCTTCAACGTTTTTTAAAAAAGTCGATTCACATTAACGTAAACCCCCTAGTAGAATAACTTATCAAATATTACAAACCAAGCTTGAATCTAAAGTTGATGAATTTACACAAAAGAGGGCGAGAGAGATATACGATCTTACATTGCAAAGTTGGTTTGGACTTTGCTTATTAGTTAGATGCTCTCCACCACTGCGTCGAAATTAGTCTGTTCATTCAAGATTATCTATGAAAACATGATTCCAAATTTAAACTTAGAAAACACAAAGAGTGTTTCAAGTTTATAACCTCGTAGAAGAATGCCACGCAGACACGGTACTGACTGTTGAGGAGACTTGTCGATCACTCTATGAAGTGAAGATTCGCTTATGATTGAGTTACAAGTTTAGTATTTTTTGTCACCTAAAATCTAAAAGTTAGTTAATTAGTATGCAACTCAATCATAAGCGTACATCTTACGGATTTTGTGTTAAGAAAAGTATTACAGTGTTCTTAGACTGCTATAACAATCCAACGTAACAAATCTAAATCTATTAACTCGTGTATATACAGATGTATTACAGCGCCTTGAAACTCAATGTCGATTCCACGAGTGATCATCATCATCATCATCATCATGAGTCTTAGACATGAAGAGCATAGTGGTTTCATCGTTATGCTTTATCCACTCAGAGAGTTTCCATGGTTTCTGCCACTTCCATTTAAACTGAAGCAGCCATTGATGGTGACTTCTCTTCCACTTCCACAGCTTCCCACTCTGTCCCATTTTCTTCATTGCTTTCATCTTTCTCTTCTCTTCTAGTAAAGCCGCTGATTCTCTCACCGAGACATTGACTATACCCGGCGCAGCGTATTTGAGATGCTTTGTTGCTCGATAAGATGGAGATGATTGGTCGCTAGCGTTATTATCTCCGTAATGCTTTGATGAGCTTCTTGAAGTTACCTGCAATAAGTGAGATTTTGCATATTTCTTGAGGAGAGCTTCACACAAAAGAGTTTTGGATTTTCAATTTTAAAAACAAAGGATCGAATCTATAACCGAGGATAACGATGATGATGATGATGAAGCCAGGGCAATGGACAATGTTTGCTCCCTCGTCTTTTTCTCTTTAAGTATCTCTCGGTTCTGGACTTCGGTTAGTTGTAATAAGCAGAGGAGATCATTTAGTTGTTCCTTCTTCTCTTTGATGTCCATGTCTTTCTCCCAGATCTTGCACCTGTTTCATGTTTGAGCAGGACAGCATCAACCTTCCATGTCTGGGAAAGAAGTATGTCTTTTTACTCTTCGGGTTTGTTTTACCTTGATTCGGCAGCGGAATTAAACACATGTTGAAGCAAACACTTGGCATCGGTCATAGACTGAACGTGGTTCCAGCGAGTCTTGGCATTAAGGCTATGCTCTTTTTCCTCTGTTTCGGAGAGCTGAGAGGCCATGGCTGTGAGAGCATTTGAGGAAACATCTAACATGTTCTCAAGCGAAGCTATTCTCTCAAGTCTTGTGTTCGGTGACAAGAACCTGACGCATGGAGATTATAAACAGGTCAGAAAGAGAATCAATCCACTCACAAGCAACTTGAGTTTTACGCAACGTCAACACTTAGTCATTTCATTTCTTCCAATGTTGTACCTGAACTGTCCACTTTTATCTTGATGGGGGCTTGAGGCAAAACTTATCTCTCTTTTCAAGGAAGCTAACTCTTCAGCCAATGCAGCTCGTCTATATGCAACCAGAGTAGATACTTGATTAGAAAAAAGTTTCTGGGATAAAGAAGTCAGCAGCTAAGAAAATGACCGAAACAGAGTTTAGAAGACGCACACTTGGATTTGCTTTTCATATTGGGAACGAACTTGATGTACTTTCGCCATAACCTCTAGCTCATTATCAAGCCATTTCCGAAGAGTTTTCTCGTTCATCTGCGTAAGAGTATGAAAGGAAACAGTTGGTACTTGTGCAGGATAGCGAGATCCATATCCAAATTAGGAGTTCTTGTTACCTGTCTAGTTGGTGGTTGTCCATTGGCAGTCACTGGAAAAGAAAAGCAAAAGATTATGAACACAACAAAGATCCAAGAAAAGTATGTTTCGTCATTTACGTTACCTGATATATCACGTGGTGAAGACTTGCGGGCTTCTAGCAGCTCTTTAAGTCTTTTGGTAGCCATTGCTGCTTCCTCTGTTTTTCTCTGAAGAACCTGCATGACATTGATGAGTTTTTTCTTATTTCGGTACTCAAATTGGATGATTTTTCGAAGTGCTTCTCTCAAGTGGGAAAAAGACAAATGATTCACTGGATTCTTACCATTTTTTGGCGTCGATTGAGAGCTTCGAGTTTTAGTCTTTCATTCTCAGTCTTTCTTCCTTCCTTCTTAAGCTACCCAAAAACAATTACGACAGTGCAACTCAAGATCAGTAGAAGTTTAGAAAAAATGAAGGAAATTAGTGAGATGATGTAGTAGATGGAGATAAAGTACATGCAACAATTCTTTCTCTTGAGAAGCTTTCCATTGCCGGAATTGTTCAGATTCTTGTTTCATCTTCTGTTGTAGTTGAACCTGGATAAAAAAGAAACAGAACACAATGAAGTTCTAAAATACGTGATCTAACATTATATGAAAAAACTTGATAGCTAGCTAAAGGTAAACAAGACACAACCTTCTGAGCCTTAATGCATTGTATTTCAGCTTGTAAACGCTTTGCTGCATCTTCACTCTTTTGCTTTTGCTTTAAGGCCTCAACTTGATTTTCTTGTTTCTTCCTGAGATTTGAAATCTGTGCCTCGAGCGCTTTCAATTTATGTGCATGAGTATCTCTTGCAACTTGTGCTTGTCTATCAGAACTAGCAGCAAGTTCCTCAACTTCAGCCACCAATAGATCTCTCTCAACCTGTACACTTCTTTTCTCTTTCTCAAGTTCCATCATTTTCTTCTCAAAGTGTTGTCTGATAGTTGCAGTTCCAACCCCATATATTTTCATCTCGGACTGCAAATTTAGAAAAATTCATAGTATTGTCAAAATAAAAACATATTCTTTATCGATAAGTACAGAAAGGTATAATTGAGTAATGACTAAAACCTCTTTCTCCTCCAGGCGTTTACTTAGTTCATTTAATTCGTTGCCCATGCTATTCTGCCTAAGTGCATGTTCCCACTCTTTTGCTGCTCCATCGATATCCTCTGAAACTACACCTTGAATTAGAAAAGATTACAAGATCAAATGAAGGTAGGAGAAGGCAGAGTGCATTTCAAAAATTAAGTTTCCAGAGAAGCCAGTATCCAAAACCTGATGTTGCTTCACTCATCTCATAATCTGAATCCATAGTTTCGAATCCTCTTTTGAGGCCATCATCTTTTGTAAAGCTTACACCATCTTCCTGAGTATATGATCAAAGTGAACAACTCTTGTTTTCAGCAGTGAAGAAAACTGCCAAATAAATCTATCCTGATTCCCTAATGCATACTGAAATTACCTGTGTATCGATATTGCTGTAGTCAAGAGTAGCTCTCTTGCTGCGATACATGTGAAGTTCTTGTGAAAGCTCCTGATTGGCAGACTCTAGCTTCATGATTTTCTCTCTCATAATCTTCAAAATGGAACTATATACGATTAATGATGAGAAGTTTATAAACCATTTGACTAGTTTCAGCAGAAGTTGTATACACATATACCTGCAGTTCCTCTGATGGGGTTGCCCCACGAGCACACAATGCAGTTTGTAGATATTGTAGCTGTTGACGCATCTTTTGCATCTCACTACATATTAAGTCTTTATTGGCCTGTGCAACAAAATGAAAGGAATCTGTTCTCTTAGAGCCTCCCAAGTGAACATTCTTAGTCCTTTTTTGTTTCCTTATGTGAACTTTTTTAATTGAGTTCCTCTGTACTTACAACAGGCTTGTTCTGGATATTCCGGGCACGATTTGCATATTTGAGCGTGTTAAGAGTTTCTTCAGCATTGATGTCAGCAGGACTGATGCAAGCTACAAGAATAACACCAACAGAAAAAAAGAGTTAGACTTGTTTAAATTGATACGAGACTTCCTGTGAATTAACTCATACAACTTAGAAGTTTACCTATCATGAGTGTTTTACTATTTCCACCAAGAGAATCCTGCAATAATGGAAAACTTTGTCACATGAATCATATATAGGACTGAAATTGGGTAATTATTCATTCTTCAAGAATCCATACAGATATTTACAGGCCAATAAAGATAATATGCTGTTAGAAATTTTATGTGTAGTGATAACAAGTAACCTCCACATATTAGGATATAGAAGTGCAAAGATGGAAAGAAACCTGCAATAACCGAGTAAGTTTACTATCACGGTAGGGAACGTGAGCACCTTCTTTTCGCTTCTTCTCATCCCCAAGTGCACTGATGACATTTCCAAGTGCAAGAAGCCCTCTATTGATGTGAATTCCTGTTTCAGAGATCAAAAGAAAAAGAACTTCAGATGCAATTAGTCAACGTTCTACCAAAAATGTAAGATGGGAAGTCAAATTTCCACAACCTTCTTTCAATCGAACACCGCCTGAGCCTGTCCGTTTAGCTCTTTCAGATCCAGCAAGATCGACCAGATGAAGC